GTGCCACAAGTTTGTTAAAATTTCCAAAGGGTGCCGCGACTAAAAAAAGGTTGGGAAACACTGCCTTAGACATTCTGTTGACTATAAGTAACTTTGCAACTATATGTAAACTATCACTCATTAGATAATTTATTGACTGTCTGCCTAATATCTGCCAACACATTATTTTGATGGTCCCCCTCATACATATTCCTGACTATTTGCATTTCAACTTATTCTAGTAACCCTAACCATAACCTATATTTGAATCCAGCGTGACAATAGAGGGCGCTCTAGTTCAGAAAAATAGATATATAGATGTGTATAGGAGGATGAAAATAATAATAAATTAATGGGCACAGGCTGAGCAGCTGTTGTTACAAGAACTTGTTTCTGACAAGCCTTAGGCCGTTTGTTCACCAAAGCATTTTAGCCAGCTGAAAATGCCAGGTGATCTACAGAAAATGCCTAGCTGTGAGTGCTACAGAGGCACAGCGTTTTTTTCTGTTGAGATGCTTTGGTTGCTATGATAGGGAATATCTGCAGAAGTAATGAGTGCTGCGTTTTACCCTAAGTTAAACATTCTTCAACTCTCAGTGCTGAGAAAAAAAAAAAAAAAACGGCACTGTGAAATAGATGCTTAGTGCTGTCAGGATTATGGACCTGTTTTGTGTGTGTTTTCTTCCTCATGCGCCCATATTTGGTTCTTCCTGTTCCCGTTCTGATTGTGTTCATTGATCCCAGCTGTGTCTCATTTATTACCTCGTTGAATTCTGTATTTATAGTGTGGTCTGCCCCTTGCTTTCTGTCCGGTGTCTAACGTCCGATGTTGTGCTACTCGTCTGTTCCTCTGTTTGGATTATTAAATGACGGTTCATTGTGATTCTCCTGCATTCTCCTCGTTCCTCGCTCCTCTCCGTAGGCAATCGTGACAGAACACCAGACCTACATACAGTATTACTGCGAGTTTCCCCTCCGTTTTGTTTCTCTGTTTTACCCAGTGTTTTTTTTTTTCCGTTGTTCCCCATGGATGCCCTCGCTCTCCCTGAATACCTCCTCCTCCTGCTGGAGTAGGGGAAGAGATTGCTTGAGGGCCATACCAGACTGTTCCTGGTCCTCGCGAGTCTCACCAGCTACCCGGACGGCGCGTTTTGTGCATTCTACGACGCCAGTTTGAACACCGTATGCAGAGCGCCGTCGTCCGAGGATGGTCCTCGAGAGAATTTCACCGCCTTTGTGGAGTTCCACTCCTGACCCAGAGCCCAGTCCACCATCTCCCCGCTGCGTGGAGCTGAAGCCCGAGCCCACCGCGACCGACGAGCCATCGCCGCAAGGAGCGGCAGAGCTGAGAATCGCCGCGGAGCCGGAGCTGCTAATAACGTCAGACCAGGTGCGAGAGCCGTCTACCACGCCCGTCACGAGAGAGAAAGCCGTGGCCAGTGAGATTGCGGAGAGGAGCTCCGCCCACTGCACCAGGGCTGAGAGTGAGCTGATTTTGGATCTGGGACTGTGCAACCCTGGAGGAGAATTGGAGGACTTATATGCCGACCTGCCCCCTCTCCTCCTTCCTTGGTCAGAGCCCTCTGTCACTCCTGTTCCCACGTCCTGCCTAGAGGAGCTCCGGATTCCTTGTCCACCCCAGAGAGGGCTCCTGTTCCAGAGTTTAGCCCTGAAAGCCCAGAAGCTCACAAATGCCCGCTCGCCCGCCTGCTCGCTCCTGCCTCCTTCACCGCTGTCGTCTGGCAGCACCTCTGCTCGCCCTCAGCCCACCATCAGTACGGTGCGAGCTCCGTGGGTCTGCCATCATCCATCGTCACTGTGGCTGGAGAATCCCTGGCCTCCGCCTCCAGCCTCTGAGTCCTGTACTCCACCTCGGCCCGTCAACCCAGCAGCACCACCATGGCTCCTAGCTCCCTCCTCTCCGCCGTGGCCCATCTGTCCACTGGCTCCCTCATCCCACTGGCTCCGCCTTGGTCTGTCGTCGACCATCCATCGCCTCAGGACTCCACTCCTCCGGCTTCGCCTCGTTCCTTCATCCCTCCGGCTCTGTCAGGCTCCTCCTTCCCTTCGGCTCCTCCTTGACCGCGGCCTTCTGGATCGCCTGAGCCATCTGCTCCGCCTTGGACTTCCGGATCCTCCCCACCACCCTGGCTCATCGGCTCTCCATTTCTGCCTCGGGCTCTTCTGCCACCTGCTCCGCCGCCATTGGTCGGCCCCCTGGAGTCATCATGAGGCCCTTCCTCCTCCATGGCTCCTCCCTTTGTCGGATCCACCATGGGTCGTCTTCATGGCTGTGACCTGGGTCCTGCTTGGCTCCTCCTGCTTCAAGTCCCTCCTGTCTCATCCCTGGCTCCTCCCTCCTTCATCACCTCCTTGGACTCTGTATGCCGGCCCCCTTTCGGGTGTCTGTCCTCCTCCTGAGCCTCCTCCCAAGTTTCCACCCGTCCCTCCCCATGTTGTATCTACGGCGCGAGGACGTGCCTTCCGGGAGGGGGGCGATATGTCAGGATTATGGACCTGTTTTGTGTGTGTTTTCTCCCTCATCTGCCCATATTTGGTTCTTCCTGTTCCTGTTCTGATTGTGTTAATTGATCCCAGGTGCATCTCATTTATTACCTCATTGAATTCTGTATTTATAATGTGGTCTGCCACTTGCTTTCTGTCCGGTGTCTAACGTCCGATGTTGTGCTACTCGTCTGTTCCCGTTTGGATTATTAAAAGACGGTTGATTGTGATTCTCCTGCGTTCTCGTCTTTCCTCGCTCCTCTCCGTAGGCAATCGTGACGAGTGCCTCATCACGCTGCTGCCATTTGAAAACAAAACAAACAACTCTGTGCTCTATTAAAAACAATTGAAAAAAAACAAAAAAACACTAGCCTTGGGAAAAAAAGCTTTGGTGGGCACAGTCTTATTGTCCGATTTTCTCCTGGATGACCAGAGCTCAAAGAATTACAGTACAATATGAAGCCTCTGGATAATTTGATTCTTCAGGGCCTTGGAGTAAAAAACCTTGCCCATTGGACAATGAGGCTCACAACAAAGGAGGAAGTTTAGTGGTGTGGGCACGGTGATGAAATTATTAATAAACCATAGCTGCTTTTCCACTGTCGGGCCAGTGTGAGCCAGTGCTTTCAACGGGCCAGCCAGGGCTAATAGCCTCAGACCTGCTGCACTGAGCCCAAAATCATGCTGCCTTTCCACCGCTGGGCTAGAAGCTCAGCAGCGCTTCACTAAAACTTGCCTTTTACATGCCTGTCTGGAACAACGTCACGCAACCCCATCATTTCACCAACAAAGAGAAGGTTTATCTGAAAACTAATCAGAAATAAATCACTTGAACTAGCGAGATCACAAAACGAACATGATAAAAGCAGCCGTTTATTTGCATTTTTTGTTGTTTACTTAAATATTTAAAACTAAAGATATTTTACCAGTTTTACAATAACAGGTGATACATTAATTATAATTGATAAAAATTAGTCACACATAAATAAATTGGTATTTACCCTTATTTCACAAAAGAATTATTCAGCTGTATATGTTTCTGTGTATTTATTGTAGTCAGTATACATCACATTTAGAAATAATGATAATTTCTAAAATTTTTCCATCAAAAATATGACCTGAGTAGCTTTAGCACTCTCTCCAGTCCCAATACATTATATTTTCAGTCAGAGAAACAGAGGGAGCTCCCAAACCAAAACTGATATATTTTATGACATACGCGGAGCTAAATATGAACATCAGACAGTCAGGTATAAAGAGACGAGACTTACTGACACAAAATATGTAACTAAATAAACACACGACTGTGATAGCCTCTATGATTTGTCTGATTTCTTCAAGCGGTCGCATTTACCATGTTTACTATGAATTGAATTTCTTTATTGTTATTGTATACATACAACTTTCATTGGACCCACCAACAAAATTTCCTATGCAAACTCCACACGAAATGCAATTAAAAATAAATAAATAAAGTAACAATCTAATGTACAATTAGACATAACAGACTTAATAAGCAATACTATAAAACAATGCCCCCCTAAACTTATTAAGTCACTATTACAACTCTAAAATAGTTTGTTAACTTGATTCAGAGCATTAATGGCTCTGGGAATAAAACTGTTCTTCAAACGTGAAGTACGGGCATAAAATGTCTTATAGCGCCTACCAGACGGCAGAGGTTCAAACATGTGGTTGCATGGATGTGTAGAGTCCTTACAGATGCTGATAGCCTTCGCTAAACAGCGTGACCTAGATATCTTCTAATGCTGGTAGTTCAACTCCGATTATCCTCTGTGCTTGCAAGACAACCCTCTGAAGTGCTTTCTTATCATTTACTGTACAGCTGGAAAACCATACAGAAATGCAATATGTTAGAATGCTCAGAAAAACAAACTTTCCTTAATATCCTTAAGAAAAACAGTCTTTGTTGTGCTTGTGTTCTTTACCAATGCAATGATATTTGTGGACCAAGTGATGTCCTCTGAGATGCATGTACTCAAAAACTTGAAACTGGACACTCTCTACACTCTGTCCCCATTAATAAACACTGGAGCATATTCCAGCTGCTGTGTTCTCCCAAAGTTGTTAATTAACTCCTTAGTCTTCTCTGTATCTGGTGGTTCACTGGGCTTTTTTCTAGGCTTGATTGTGTTTATGGGGTGCAGTCTAACATGTCTTAAAGCTTTGTTTAAAAAAAAA